ATATATTTAAAATATTAAATAAGAAATAGATCAGAAGAAATTATTTAGAATAATACTAAATAATTCTTTTACTTTTTCTTATTTAATTAAAATACATATTTTAAATGTTTTTTTAAATACGACCGATCCTTGATAAGCAGAAGTCGGTAAAGTAACTGATATAACCTATTTAAAATATAAAAATAACAAATATAAAATAGATTCCAGAAACACGACTTATTTAAAATGAAAAATACAAAATAGATTCCAAAAACATATTTAAAATATTAAATATAAAATATAGATTGGAAGAAACTTTTTAAAATAATAAATACTAAATAACTCTTTTACTTTTTGTTATTTAAAATACATATTTTTAATAATATTATTTTAAATACGATCGACCCCTGAATACAGCACATAAACGCGCTAGAAATAAGAGCGTTTGGACTTTGGAAAAAAAAAATTTCCAAGTGTTTAAAGAAAAGTCTGTAGGAAATAATCTTACAACCATTCGATATTATTGTTGTTTGTGCAATATTCCACAATATAAGTTTACGAATCACGACGAAATATCTGAAAATGAAAGAATTAAATTTCTGTTAGACAAACCAATTTCAACGACCCTGTAAATGTTTAACAGTCACTTGAAAGCTGCTCGTTAAACATTGGCTGCGTTCAACAGAAGAAGCGGCTTTACAACTGTTGTAAAATTCTTTAATACGATTGGTTTATATATTTAAATATTTTAAATCTATGAAGAATTAATGGCAAGAACTAATCATGTTGAAGAATTTCACAACAATTGCAAAACTGCTTTCTCGGCTGAACACAGTCATTAATTCGCAATTCTTTTATGTAATTAAAACAATAAAAATAAACTATAATAAGATTTTACTTGAAAGATTGTTTAAAGAGAAAATAAAAGTATGAACAGTAATAAAATTTTGTTTTATATACATAGTTTTTATATATACATATATACAGGGTGTTCAGTAAATTGTCTGTAATATTTCGAGATTCGAAAAAAGAAGGAAAAAGGGTTATATAAACATTGGTCCGGAAATAAGTCGTTTCCGAGTTATAATTATTTTTATGTTAAAAAAAGTAATTTATTTTTCATAATTATAATAATTAAAATAATAATAATTATAATTAGTCATAATAATTTATTTTGTACCCAGGATTCATCACGTGGAGGCATAGTCCGCTTGGCATCCCTGTTTATATTTTTAAATTTTTATTTTTTTTCAATTTCTCGATGTAAATACGATTACATTATTTTTAGAATGGAGGAGAAACATAAACAGATATTTAAATCGAGTTTGGTTAATCGAATATTAATTGTAATAGTTCGGAAGAATCCAAATATTTTTCAAAGAATTCGGAATTCCTTTGATAAAAGAATAAGAGAGCCTGTATTCGTGCTAAAGATGGTCATTTGGGAACATATTATTTACTTTGATTTAAATACCTCTTTATGTTTATCCTTCATTTCAAATAACGTAATCGTATTTACAGAAACAAATATTTAAAAAGAGGGATGCCAAGCGAACTATGTCTCCATGTAGTGAAAAGTTCTGGAAAAAAATAAATTATTATGATTAATTCTGATCATTATTATAAATTATGATTATTATTATTACAATTTTTTAAACACAAAAGTGTTTATAACTCAGAAACGACTTATTTCCGGACCTATGTCTATATATACAACATTTTTTCCTTCTTTTTCGGTCCCGAATCACCTCTCGAAGTATTGCAGGCGATTTACTGGACACTGGACATATATACTTATTAAAATATTTAACTTCCAAGTATTTTAAATATTATTAATTTAAATTTTTTAATATTATAATTAATTTGAATATTAAAACATAATTTAAATATTATTTTATTATGTCATTTAAATATTTATATTTTCAATATTATTCTCTTTGTTAAATATATTGCAATATTCTTTTTCGAGAATTATTATAGTTTTATTTTAGCCGTTTTTTTTGACAATTCGTAACCTCAACATTTTCGCATTAGGATTTTCGTCTTTAGAATATTCCAAAAAATTCACACTTAAAAGGAAATCCGATAGTTTTGGGACACCCTGTATAGTTTCAAATTGTCAAAATAGTGGTTCACAAGAGAATAACTTCGAGAATTAGAAACGCAAAATAATAGTAGGGCTATTTATTGAACCATATTTTTTTTATCCATATATTTTCTTGGTCCATCCAAAATTTTTTTTTGTACAATATACAATCGAACCTCGATAACTCGAAAACCGACTCGAAAAACTTACTTTAAAATCCATTATAAATTATAAACTCTAGTACAAAGCTTCTGTAATTTTCATAATGTTAATTCTCTTTTACTCGAACTTCGATAATGCGAAACCTTTATAACTTGAAGATTTTTATAGCTGGTCCCTTGAGATTCGAGTTATCGAGGTTTGACTGTATAACCTAATATAGCTAATCCTTGCGGGTTTATATCTTTATCATCTATTATCTATAAAAAGAGAATTGTATATTATTTCGAAAACATTCAATAAATATTAAAAGTTAAGTACATACTTCAAAAGAGAGATATCACAAATAAATACAAATATTTATTACATATTTTTTTAATTTCCTAAATTACATTATTCTGTATATACGCATTTAGAAGACATACATTATTTTAACAATATTTACCAAATATATGCAAAAGTGCGGAAGTTTTCAATTATTAATTTCAAGTTGTTCTTTGAGATTATATTCAATGAAACCTACATACGCACGCGATCTCTCTCGAAATTAACCGAATCTGCAGATTAATAAGACGTAGGCCTTTTAAGTTTTTTATCTTGGTCTTTGCTTATGGCTTACTATTTAACTGCTTACGTTTTTCTATGCGCTAGGACTCTAAGCAATTATAGGCCAAATTATTCGTTGTTTATTTTACTTTTGATATTAGAACGTATTTACAACTAAAATTTTACTTAAAATTAACCAAATTAATTTAACTTTTTATTTTTTTGGTTTTTTTTTGGGAGCTCTGTACAGTCGAAATATTTTTAATAAACATTTTATTTATTAATTAAGATCATAAACGCCAACACAGTACAAAGCGGATTTTAGTGCTTTCATATAATATAGTGTGAATCTTACAATTTTCGGTTCATATAACACCACATGGCCGCAAATCGCATGCATCTCCGCAGATCCGAACCAAGTAGTATGTATAATATCACAAATTGCCATAGGCAATCTAATAAATCGATGCTCAAAGCATCTATTTTAAGTCCTGTGAAATCTTCCCATCCTCGCGACATCAAATAAATGCTAACTTGCATCTATACGAATCTGTAAAGAATTTATTGCGAAAAAATATCACCTCATGTTCTCAGCCAGGAACGTGGAAATCCGGGTTCGTTTCCTGGCTGAGAAAGATCGGAAGAGCAC